CTCCCGCCGCGGCCGCCGGCGGCGGCGCCGCCGTGTTACGCCGACGGCTCTCTTCTCCTCCCAAGATCGCCTTCATGTTCTTGATTAACTCCGACATAGCATTCGCCCCCGTTTGGGAACTCTTCTTCCGGGGCCACGAGCGGCTCTTCAACATCTACGTTCATGCCGATCCCCTCGCTGAGCTCGTCCTCCCGCCGACCAAATCATTCCGCGGACGCTTCATCCGGGCGAAATCGACGCAGAGGGCGTCTCCTACTCTCATCTCCGCGGCTCGCCGCCTCCTTGCTGCCGCGTTACTCGACGATCCGGCGAACGCTTTTTTTGCCCTAATTTCTCAGCACTGCATCCCCCTCCATTCTTTCAGTTACGTCTACAACGCGCTCATCTCCGACCCAGAAGTAACTTCCCCCGCCGGTTCCTTTCACCGCCGTCACCGCAGTTTTATCCAGATCGTTGCCGATGATCCCTTTCTGCACAACCGCTACATAGCTCGAGGAGACAATGTGATGCTTCCTGAGGTCCCCTTTGAAAGCTTTCGAATGGGGTCCCAATTCTTTATCCTTGCGCGACGCCATGCCCTTCTTGTTGTCCGCGAACGGCGGCTGTGGAAAAAGTTCCGGATGCCATGCTTGAAGAAGATGCGGTCGTCCTGTTACCCGGAGGAGCATTACTTCCCCACGCTTCTGGACATGCAGGATCCTGAGGGCTGCTCTGGATATACTCTTACGAGAGTGAATTGGACTGATAGTGTTGATGGGCATCCACACACTTATTTGCCTGGTGAGATCTCCGGGGATCTCATCCTCGATCTCCGGCAATCCAATTCCACCTATTCCTATCTCTTTGCTCGAAAGTTCTCGCCTGATTGTCTCAAACCTTTGCTGGCAATTGCCGAGACTTTTATCTTCAAAGATTAGGTTGCAGGTAACGGAGGTTTGAGGAATGGTGCCGATAGAATAAGCATTGGTTCCTGAAAAAAGGCGGCTTTTTTCTTCTTATAATCTTATTATTTGCTTGGAAATAGATGGGGAGTTATATGTACAGTATTCATATTCAGCTTTTAAAGGTTTTAGATTTAGATGAAAGAATTCCCTGTTATCCAAAGCTTTTGACTTATTCAATTGAAGCATTTTGTAGCATTATCCAGCCAGATTGGGCTTCTGCAAAATACTTTATTTTCAAGTTAGAAATTTTAAAGTTTTTGTCTGATTGTCTCTGTATTTTGTTGTTTCATGTTTGATTTTGTTTTCCTCTGTTTTTTATTGTTCAAGGTGGATGAAAGTGGTTTGGGATTCAATCATTTTGTTGGCCAATTTTTACTGAAGAAAAATTGGAAGCTTGGTTAAGTCTTTGATGTTCTTGCTTTGTTTCCTCTCATTTGTTAAATTTTAGATGTGCTTAAATTTAAATTAGATTTAATTCAGAAGACTTGGAAGTAGTGAATTGTTGTTATTATTTCATGTTTTCATATTGTTTTCTCATCTTCAACTTTTGTGCCTAACCCTTGTTTTTCAGAAGCAGCTCTCTGTTTTGAAGTTTTTCTTTCATGATGTGTCTAGAATGAGTAGCGGAGACTCCATTGAAGGATTCTTCTAAGATACTAGATGTCATAATGAAGCAAAGTACCAAGCACAATGCTGGGAACCTTCGCTTCTCGTTGAAATAAAGGTTGAATTATTGTTATTTTTTTGAGGCATTTTCATTCATAACTCCTGATTTTTATGTATTTACATTTCTATCGCTTATACTTTTACATTTATACAATCTAAATCCTTCATATTACATAAAAATACCACCTTTTTAATTTTTAATAGTTCAATATATCTTTTCTTGCATAGGTAATGTGGCATGTTTGTAAGAATTGAAGTTTTGGTGTTAGATATGTAAATGCGTAGGAAGTTATGTATGCAAATTCCTTTTTTTTTTTTTTTTTTTTTTTTTTTT